GTTGGGGTCTGCATGGTGGGATGGAGAGAAGAGCAATGGGTCCCTGTGGTGCCTGGAGGTATGTCAGGTTCTGCAGGTGACGGGCACAGTCCTCCAGGGCTCCCACTCCAGACAGCGCTGCTATCAGTCTCTCTGACCAACTTGTTACAAATTTGGGGTTCCCATGAACTCTGTCATGTTCACCCATTTGCTAAAATGACTCACAGAACTCAGCAAAATATTGTACTTATGGTGGTAGTTTTACTATAGCAAAAGGATACAGATTGAAACCAGACAGAGATGCATCGAGTGAGGCCTGGATCCCAGATGCACAGATGTCATTGCCCTCCAGCCATGTCGTTACCCTCCTGCCTCACTGATGTGACAGCAGGCAGGGTACTGCTTGTGCGAGCCTTATCTGAGAGTCAGTGTCCTGAGTTTTATCGGGGTTTCCGGATGTGTAAATGATAAGTGACTGAATCTGCTCCCACATGGCTGACTCAGTCTGTCTGTCCTTCCACACACACCCCCTTACCCCCCACCCCACAAGGCTGGACTGAGGCCATATGACTCAAAACATAGTTTTCTTATCACCTGACTTGTCTTTGTGGCTGGCCAGTCCTCACCCTGAGTCGTCATCTTTTTAGTATAAACTACTCGAGATGGGCTGAGCCCGCCGTGAGTAACAGACATGCCAGCCCCTCAGGAAACACCAAGGGTTTAGTGACTCCTCCCGGGAACTGGGGACAGCAGTTAGCCAGACTCAGCACACAGCTGGCGCGGCAGCCCGGGGGCTGGATGAGAGCTGCAGCTAAGCTTGTCTAGCAGGTGTGAGAGGCTTGCCAAAACCTCGCTCTAACTTGCCTTGGAAGATGTCAGGGTGAAGTTGTAGTATGTTCTATCTGGAATCACAAGACAGGGGTGGCAGACATGTGGTGGGGTGGGGTGGGGTGGGTAGGGCAAGGTGACCCTTCAGCTACTCGGTCTACCACATGCCTGTGGGAAATGCAGGAGCCCGGCTTCTTGACCTGCTGTGTACCCCGACCAGAGTGAGCGGCCTTATGATTCCTGATCTCTTTCTGTGTCTCTAGGTCTACAAAGATCTACACTCCAGGTCGGAAGGAGCAAGGGGAACCCATGACCCCTCGCCGCACACCAGCCCGCTTTGGGCTATGAGCTGGGGCTGTCGTTGAAGAGTGGGTCAGCTGTGAGCCCTTTGGCTGGAGCAGCCAGGCCTGCCAGTAAACCTTTCATCTCTGTGCTTTCATCTGTCCATCTAGCCCCGAGTGATGTTCCAGCTGAGGCCAGGTTCAGTGCAGGAGCACTGAAGGGGCAGGCAAAGCACAGCCTAGAATCTGCTAGAGCAGCGGGAGGTGACTGGGCTGGGCCCATTGTGTCCAAATAAACTGTCCCTGGGGCACTTGATGTATCAGTGACTTGGCCATGACTATGTTTTTTAAAAGTTCTTGTTTAAAGCAGCAAAATGGACCTAGGGGGAATTGTAATTTGGTTAGAATCCAGGGTTTACAAATAAATTTATTGTTTATAAAATTTATTGTATTTTTTATTCCTTTTTTCCTCTCTGCCCTAAAACATGTGAGAACACAGACACTCGCCTTTTGAACCTCTTCTGTGCAGCCAACTGAAGAGGAAGCTTCCTGCCTAACTGGCAGGCTCTGGGGTCTCCAGCATGAGCCCCTCTGTCATTCTAAGCCCCTCAGCTCCTGACCTTTCTCATGTGTCTAAATCTCTTGTTACTACCAGGCAGGCAGACCTGAATGTCCTTGAACGGATCCTCCTAGAACCTTAGCTGCCTTTATTCATGTTCTCTAGGAAGTGCCTCTTGGAGAAGGGTTCTGCCGCACAGGACAGCCCTGACAGGCACCAGCAGGGCCACGGGGCGGTGAGCAGCCACATGCCCCCAGGCCCTCTCTAGAGGAGGGCTGGCCACTTCAAAGGGGTCACTCTTTGCTCGAGATGGCAGAAGTCTCGTCTCTGCATGTGTAAAATGTTGCTTAGTTGATTTTCATGATAAAGATTCTTAACACATAAATCACCCTTACGCACAAATCACCAGTCTTGTTAAATAGCCTCTTAAGCCTGCTTTTGAGATATTCAGCACTTTGAGTCAACCCATGCTTCTCATTTTTGTGATTCCTTAGGGTTGGGTTTCTGCCAAGTGCGCTGGTGGTGAGGACAGGCTGGAGACTCACTCACTTTGATCTAGGCCAGGCCCCTGCCTGGGCCCTGGTGCTCTGCTCTCACTCATGGTGGAGGGCTGGATTCTCTCCTGTTCTCACTCCATGGGGTCTGAATTTCCGTCTGTTCTAACTTAAATTTTAAGTCAATTTTATGGGTGATTTGGAAGTCAGGCTTTGTCAGTCAGCACCAGCTACCAAGTCCACTTGCACTCTTTTTTTCCTCCTCTCTAGCTGCTGATTGGGAATGCTGCCTTCCCACAGGTCTGGAGTGAAAGGAGGGCTCTGACTGTTTCCCTGGGAAGGCTTCTAACTGGCCTGGATTGCAGGGCTAACAAGTGTCCACTGCTCTGTGAAGAGAAGTGAGCAGGGTTTGTGATCCTACATGTGGACCTGGGAACAGAACCCAAAAAGCTGGAGGTCTTAATGACTTTACTACCAACTAGATGTGGCCCTGATCACCTTCAATTCCCTTAGATAAAATTAAAATTCAAAGCCAGGAACATCCTTCAAAGGACACCTGGCGTAGACAGGTTCCACAAGAGGAGTGGGGAAATGCCCTGCATCCCCAACAAGTCTACTTGAATCTGCCTGAGACTGGCTGGCCCTGTGACTCTAGTTTTCTTCTTAATTATGGACTGTTTCCATAGAGAATCACATTAAAGCCCCTTCTGGCTTTCACGCTTAATACACCATCTTTTCCTCAGATGACAGCTACTTTTTTTTTTCCCTAGACGTACAAAAGCCCTGAAGTGGGTCCTGAGACTGGCTTTCAGACTTCCTAGCATTGAGTAAGGGGGTGCCCTGCCTGGCTTCCAGTTACAAGTATCTGGTCTTTTAAATTCTGTTGATGGAACAGGGACCTCAAGACACACAGCTGAGGGTTATGCTGGGGACCTCAGAATCTGTCTGGTAGGTCCTGTCTGTGGTGGGAAATTTCCTCCTCAGTTGGGCTGTGTAAAGGGAGCCTAAAGTCAAATGCCTGTGTGGCAAGGTGGTGATCCTGGGAAGCCCTCCTCCCCCCCAGTAAGGAATAGGATAATGTGGCTGGTGTTTGCCCCAGGTTCCTTTGACTCAGTGGAGATCTGTACCCAGGTTGGTAGAAGAGGTTCTGCCTCTAAAAGGATTCCATAGTCTCCCGGTGTCAGGATCTGAGTGACTGGGTGGCCAAATACTTCAGTTACGATCCCCTTGGCTAGGTCTTGGCTTCATAAACGGTTCTCTTTTTCTTTTTTGCTAATCGTTAGAACAATTTTAGGTACATAACAAAACTGAGCAGGAGAGATAGAGATTTCCCATATGCCCTCAACCCCACATCTGCCCCCCATTATCAGCATCCGGCACCCGAGTGGCACATTTGGTTAATGGGACATGTAATCATCCCAAGTCCACCGGCTATGTTCTACGGGTTTGGACAAATGTATGAGGACGTGCATCTACCATCATTGTGTCATAGAGAGATCATTTCTTTTAATGTCAGCTGTTCAAACTAACATTTTAGGAACTCCCTTCTTTTCATCATTTCTTAAAGAATAATAGGCAACACTCAGCTGCCCTTTCACTGGTCTTTCGAGAAACTACGCTGTTCTAAATTCAGCCCTGCTATGCCAGCAGGTCTCCTGACTGCCTGGGCTTGCGAGGCCCGACCGCCGGGAGACACGCAGGTGTTTCTCCAGCTGCGCTGCTGCTCTGCTCTGTGTTCCTTGCAGCCTGCTTTGCTCTGCTGTAAACGTCTCACAGATAGTGAGAAAAATGTACAACATTCAAAGCCTCTAGTTGTCACTTTGGCCAACATATATGAAAACATTCTGCAAATTATGGGGACAAAATGCTTTTTTAGTAGACTGTATTGAGGTTCATGATGAATTTGAATATAATTGGGCCAAAGGTAAGAAATAGCAAGCCATTTCATTATTACCACATTTTTCAGTTTTTGTTTTCTCTGGAAAATATATCCTTATTCTAAACCAAGTGGTGGAACATAGTCAAAGAGCATAAACAGACAACAACCAACATGACAGAAACTACTAGAGATGCCTTTTGCCCCTGCCCCAAGGTAAACTTAGGAATTTGCCTTTCCCAAGGCCTGGCAGGGACATCCTATATCATAGCCTATGTAAGATATGTTGCTCTTAGCAGTGAATTGTCTTGGCTTTTATTTGACGGAAAGGGTGGTAAGAATATTTAAGGGCCATTACCAGAAGGAGGTTTTCTTCCTCTGCTTTTCCTTGCTCCCTCTCTGCTCCCAGAAAGCCAGCTCTTTCATTTCTTTCTCTTATTGTATCTTAGTGGCTATTTCTCTCAATTTCCTACAGACTAGAAATATAAATTCCAGACATGTACTCAGTTAAACAAAATCCTACCACAATAAAATAGTTTAGCTGTCCTTGGAGTTTGTTATAATGGAATTTTACTTGTATTGAGCTGGCTGGGGAGAAAAATAAAATTGTTCAGAGGAGAAATGGAATATGGCGGCCAGAGAGAAGGCAGATGGCTATCTCTCCCTGCTCCATTTGGAATACACATCACTCATTTCTCTTCCTTTCTTTTGGGTCTGAGGATTACTTTCCTTTCTTGAGGTTTTCAGATTTTTTTTTTCTTCTTAAATTCCAGACAGAGATGGAGAGAATAAAAAAGGAGCTAATTATCTCTTGTTGGTTTAACAACTAATCCATATAATCCAGAAGCTTGCTTTGGGAATCATAACTCCCTATATCCGTGAAAGAGATCTATATCTTTTAGATTCCAAAGAAAATGGGGATGAACATGTTGCCAGGGGCAGAGATATGCGCAAGACACCAAGAGCACCCTGAGGCTGCTGTGCTCATGTCTTTATTTTAGAGTTTGGGCCTGGAGTGAGCCATGGCTCATTCCACTGCAGGAATTGGGCAAAACTCAATAAAGTGTTAGTAGCTTGAAAACAGGCAGGGGCCTTGCTATATTTCCACCGGAGTTGGTCCAGGTAAGGAGCGAGGGATGGGAACTCAATTGTCTTCTGAAAATCTCATGTAGAAAATGTGCTCAGGGCAAGGGGCCGATTCTAGCAATATGAAGAACCTGAGGGGACAGGGAAGAAAGGACAGTCTTGATTGGAGAAGAAATTCATGAGGTGATTCCTAGGGACTAGCCTCGAGGTCAGGCAGTCTAGTGGGGTGACTGCTTCCCTCTGGGGTAATGTGGGGTCTATAGGTGGCCAAAAACGGTAGGCATGGGCCCAGCCTGTGCTCTTATGCAGCTCCGGAACACATGAATTGCGGAAGAAGCCCATTTCTTCACACTCCCCATTCGTCTCCACGCTTCACAAAAAGGAGACTGGGTCAAGGGAAGAGATAAGCTGAGATTGGAGGCACTTGGATGCTGTCAAAGAATTTAGATCAGAACAAGCCTTCATTTCCTTCTCACTACAGCTGAGGAAATAGTTATTTCTGGTCCAGATTAGCTAAGCAAAAGAGCTGTTTTCTTCAATTTTCAATCCAGTGAACTCTGGAGAAATAAAATCGCACTATTTTTTGACCCCTGGGACTAAGCAAGATGCCATCTGAGCAAACTGCAAAAAGCAAAGGGTGGACATACCTGGACAGCGGGGTATCCCGATGATCTTGCGGACCTCCAGGGTATGGCTCACATCCTGGGTTGCCCCCCTCCAGTTCAAGGCACCACATCCTTTCCCCCTTGGTGGGGACTCCATTTTGCATGGGTGCAGGACTTTGGTGCACAGCCTCTGCTTCCCAGTTTTCAGCTTCTTCTCTTCTATCTCGTCCTTAAGCTTCTTGTTTTCTTGCTGCAGGTGGATCATGACATTGTGGAGGTGGCTGGGGAAGGACAGGGAAGGACAGGTGGTGCTGGGTTGGCTTCTGCTCCTCGGTTCCCTGGTTCCCCGCTGAAAAGGACGGATGAAAGCACCACGGGAGGCCGAGGCTGTCTGCTGCCCCTGGGTTGATGCTTTCACGTGGAAATGGAGGCCTGTGTGATCCCTGGAAGCAGTGTAGGCCTGGGGGCAAGAAGGGGCCCCAGCACCCACTATGTCAGCGCTGGGCCTGCTAAAAGGGAACAACTGAGTCTGATCTGCCTTCTGGGATTTGTCAAAAGATGCAGTTACACAAATGATGGAGACTTGATGTGAAGAGCCCCAGGAGGCTGGTGGGAAAGACTGAGCCACGTGTCCTGGGGTAAACACGGCCAGGCCTCAGGAGGACATTCACCCAGTCCTGAGGCCCAAGTTCTTCCACCTCCTTTTGAGAGCACAGAGAACCTGGCTCTGACGAGTAGCCAGCAAGGGCTGGTTACTTCTCCCTATCTCAGGATGAGGGCTGCCGTGCAGGTGAGGGTGAGAGAATTTAGCATACTCCTGGGAAGTCTTATTTCTCCAAACCAATTTTGTGGGCAGTGGGGAACAGTGGGCTCTGGAACCCCACTTTCCCAGCTGGAATTCTGGCTCTGCCACTTGCTACCATGAGACAAGTTACCTTGCCTCAATTCCTTTCTCTCCTCAGCCTTAAAACAGAGTAGTAACTGCAATGAACTCGTGAGATCTTATGCCAACTAAAATAAATGAAGGCACTTATTTTATTATTAAAACATTTAGAATGGTGCCTTGGATGTGCCAGTCATAAATATTAGTTGAGTTCTTGTTAAGAGATGATTTTCTTCCAAATAGGACCAAACTCAAGAATGACTTCTTGGTGAACAGAACCTCCTAGAACTTGGCACAATGCAAGAAAAAACCTGGAGTTCTGTGGTACCCTTAGATTCTGGTCTTTTCTCTTTCTTTCTTTCTTTCTTTTTTTTTTAGTAAAACCTTTGCATAAAATGTTTTTGTCCTTGTGACAACTGTCTCATCTAGGGGAAAGCCAGTTAAAAGTTCATCCTCAGCTTGTTCTCTGTGCTTATCTCCTATCCCCTTGCTCCCTGAAAACCCATGGTGTGGAAGGCACCCCAGGCACCCTTTCCTTGCTCCCTTTAGTCATCACCACACTCCACGTACTCTGGGCCCTGGGTCCCTATGGTCTGGCTCCCTCATGTCAGTATCCCGATGCCTCCAATCTCCCGTCCTGGCCCCTCAGCTCCGTGACCACCTAACTGCAACAATCGTGTTCTCTCCTTCTATGCAGCCCTCCCTTACTCCCAGAGAGCAAAGCTGAGGACAGAGCTCAGCCCTTGGGCAGGCTTCGGGGCAACCACTGTCTGGTCACTTTTGTCACAGGCCGCTCCCCTCCAGACACTCTTCCAAGTAGCCAAGGAAGCATGGTCATTTTTCAAGTTTCCTGACAGCGGGAAAGCACTGCCCCAGAGCCTGCCACTACACCCAAATCTCAGTTTTAGACATCCCTCACACCTTCACATCTGCTCCCAACCCTCCAACACCCCTCCCACACTGCACTGTGTGTGTGGCAGCTTTGACATAAGGGTGACCAAGGTCGCAGGGTGGTGGTGATTGAGCAACATGTAGAGGGAATCTAGGCCCCCAGATGACCGTGCGGGGCAGAGGAACTGCCTGCCTGGACAGTCCACCTTGCAGGACGTTCCTTCTGAGCTCCATTTCTTTCCCTCACTAGAGATGTCCTTGTTGCAGCAGCTTAGTTCTTCGCCTGACCACTACAGTGTGCCTTGCACTGCCTGTCTCCTTCTCTGTAGCTTTCTCCAGAGAGTCAGAAAGCGACAGTGGAAAGCCACAAAGAGATTATTCACCCCACAGAACCAAGGGGAGGGAACTAAGCCCAAAGAGGCAAAGTGATACGCCACCGCCACTCAGCGGCAGATCCAGGACTGGGGGGTCTTTCCCAAGCACCAGGCTTTTCCTGGAGCCCCCTATGCAGTGACAAAGCCATGGGGCCCTGAGGTCCCAACAGCAGCCAGGGTGGTGTGAGAGGACTTACTCCTTTTCCCCAGTCAGCTTGGCGATATATTTCACTTGTTCACGGAGCTTGTTTCCTAGTTTCTCGTTGGCGATCCTGTGATAGAATGCACAAGAGAAATGAGTCCCTCAGACCTCGGCATATGAGGGCATGCACTGGCTGAACAGGATTTGGGCAAGGCTTCTGCTGGGCCCTAGGAGCGTCACCCAGTCCCTGGAGTACCTGGCAATGAAGCGGTACCTCTATGTTCAATTCCTGCACAGTCACCATGCTCCCAGGTGAGTTCAGGGGATCCAGACAGTGAAGCCCGGCCCCACTGGGAAGGGAAATTGAAGCACCCCTTCTATCTTAGAACTGCTGCATCTCCATGCCAGGCTTTTGATCAGGTCTGAAGAATCCAGATTCTTCCATTTCATCCCCAAATTGTGGGTGTTGGGGGGGAGACTGGACCGCTTTCCCGGGAGCGCAGTGTGTGTGTGTGTGTGTGTGTAAGCATGTGTGCGTGTGTGTGTGTGTGTGCGCGCCTGTGACACAGAGGGAGAGAGGGAGAGGGGGAGCGGGAGAGGGAGAGGGGAGCTGTTCTCTGGCATGTGTGCAGCTCTTTAGTTCCATCCAGCTTGGGACACTGCCTTCTTTTTTCTTCCTTACTCACTTTTGCTCTTTTGCCCACTGCTCCATGTTGCACATAATCTGATCATTCTCCCGGTGCAGCCTACAGGTTTCTTTGGGCACAGGCCGCTGGGGCAGGCAACAGGACTTTGTTATGGGAGAAAATGAAACAGTAAGGGCTGGGGCACAGGCCTACCCTTTCCTGCTCCCACATAAGACCTCCTCTCGCTTCCTGGGAGATGGAAAGGGGCTGCCACCCACCCTGTACGGCCAGAGCTGGGCTTGCACAGCTCCATCTACAGCAGTGTAGGCTGCACCCTATGGAAGTGACATCTCGGAGCAGGCAGTGTTTAGACACAAAGCAGCCAAAGATTAAAGCAGTTTGTCCTAAAAAAGTCAATGCCCTTTCCCTGCTATTTGGAAGTAGGATATTTCTACTTGATATCTACAGGTTATCTGTTGGGTCTTGAAATGCCACTTCCATTGTTTTATATGAAGAAAATTTTGAGCATTCCCAGATCCCCAAAGTAACTTGCCAAACAGGAACATCCCACTTTTACGTGGCAGGGGAAACCTGTATGTTAAGCCAACATTTAAATAGCTGGAAGAAAAAATTGTCTTGAGGAAGGAATGCCTTTTTCCCTAATTTAGCAAAGGACCCGTGGTCACCCCAAGGCCTCCTGGCATGACTTTACTGCTCAGGGATCAGGGCTTGAGGATCTGTCTGAAGATCTCTGAGCAGCTACTTCTGCCGTAGCATGTGGGGCTACTGAAATCATCCCGGAGGACCCTGAGGACTGCCCTGTAGCTCCTCTAAGGCAGGGGCAGCAGGTGTACCTGACAGGGAGCTGGCACTCTCTTCTCTGGACAGGGGCCTCTGTTCTGCTCAATATCTCTATCAGCAAGGTGACAGCAAGGTGAGTGGGTCGATACAGCTTTTTTGAGCCTATAGCACTCAGGTCCTGCTTTGGACTGAATAGAGGGGAGCGGTGTCCTTTCCTTGCTCTCAAATACCCCCAGCACCACCAAATGCTGTCTGGCATCCAGGTGGCATGGGATGTGCTGGGAGGGCTGGGAGAATGTGGCCAGAAGAGGAGGAGTGCCCACCTCCTTGTCATCTGCCAGGAGGTTCTCTTTCAGGGTGGCCATTTCTTCCTGGAATGCCTTGAGCTGCTCCTCTTTAGCGGCCAGCATCTTGAGGTCATTCTGGTGCTGCTTCTGCCACTGCAACACTTGGTTGCTCATCTCCTCTAGCCTCTTGTCAAAGGCATGCACCTGCTCGGGAGCACAAAGTGAGGAGGGAGGACCCCAGCTTGCCCAACCAACTCCAGGGCACCTGAGACAGGGCTTGGGGTGTGCCATAGCAGGGATTTTTATTTTCAGTGGCCAGCAGAGGGCGCCCATGAACTGATCATTGCGGCCTCTGCGGAAGTTCTCGGAGCCAGGGGATGAAGAGGAGGGGGCAGATTAGTCAAAGGCAATGAATGGTTCAGTTCTCAGTGCCTGAAGTGGGTTTGGGAACCCCAAACAGGAAGGCAACCTGAGCCCCAGGCTGCTCCTTACCTCCATCTCACTCTCTTCGTGGAAGCCCTGCAGTTTTTTTAATTCCGTGTTCAGCTTTTTCATTCTGTCCTCATAAGCCATGATTTCATCTTCCAGAATGCTTCTTCTTCCTTGTGCCTGTAACAAGCTTCGGTGCAGGGTTTTTGTTTCTGAGTTTGCTTGATCCAGCTTTCAGTAAAGACAAATGGGGTGAGAGTGGTTATTAAAGTGCTGTGGGTCTCTCTTCTCTGTTGAGTCCAGAATAGGAAAGGGCTCCGGGCCCTCCCCATCCTTGGCTCTGGGTGGTACAGAGAGACACCTGTACCTCCCCAGAGAAGGGTAGGATTGACACTGCCTGGTTTTCTGCACACACCCTGCCTCCCACCCCAGTCTCCTTCCCATGTTTCTTCTTCCTAGTGGTTTGAACACACCAGTCAAGTGTGATCAGCACAGGGATGGTGCACGAAAAATTTCCTTGACAATACAGTTTTCAGGAAGACCTTGACCATGGGCCACTGATGGGCAGGAAGATTTGTTAGATTTGCTCCCATGTTTGCCCTCCCCCACGTCCCCACCACCCAAGCCTCACTAAGAGGAAACAAACTTCTGGAGAGACATCCCAGTCCATGCAAGGACTTGCTGATGGCCCTGGTGAGAGCCAGTCATGCAGGAAGTCAACTTTTGTGTGTCTCACACTACTCTGGTATTTCTTTGCCCTAAAACAGTCCAGGAGAGGAGAGGGGGTGGCCCACCTTATCAAGTGCTTGTGCCAGGTCATCTTGATAGATGGCTGATTTCCGGGATAACTCATCATAGATATCCTTACTGACTGTGTTCAGGAGATTTTGCTTCTCTCTCTGCACGGCCTTGTCCAGCTGGATCTGCAGATGGTCTAAGGACTCCTTCTGAAAGGTGATCTTTAAGGAAGGGGAACATCACAGTCAAGTTCATGGCCACAGATTCATTCTTTGTGCCTATAGCAAAGCAACTCCCTCTGAATCAACCTGCAGAGCAGACTGTGGTAATGGCCATGCCTTCACCTCACTGTTATATAAGGAAGAGCTGCCTCCAGGCTCTTCTGCAGCCCTCTCGCCAATCTCCCTCTTCTAGGTAGCATATTCCCCAAATACCACAATGTGCCAGGCCCATGAAATATTCCTTTCGCAGACCCTGCAGCCCTTGATAAGATCTGGAATCCAAATCCAGGACAGGAGACAAGATAAACTTCAGTTGTAACTTATGCCTCACTGTTGGTTCCTTAGTTTGAGAATTCACTAGACTTGATGCACCATAAAAACAGGACTCTGCTTTTGCACACTGTACCCACATCAACTATCATGCAGGGCATGGGACCTACTAGGTGCTTTGTTAATACTGTGTGATTATTTATTTATCCTTTTGGCTGAATGAGATATTGCATTGGGCAATGTTTGTAATCAGGGATGAATTTAACACACAGCTGAGGCAGAAGTGTGATTAAACACTGATGTCTGTGTATTAAACTTAGTAATGAGTATTCACAGTATAGCTAAGCGGAACTGAGAGTGAGAGTTAGAAGGTCTGGATTGAGGTCCTGGTTCCTTTTCTTAATTTGTCATTTTCTTAATTTTGCTGAGTCTCAGTTTTCGCTTTGTAAATTGAGGTGATTTCAGCTGTTTCATAGAGTTTTTGTGATGATAAAGCAAGATGATGTAAGAAGAAAATCATACAGCAGTGAATGATTTTCATGTGATCATGAACACATGGAATAATTAGCTGCCTTATCATATACTTTACCTAAGGACAGAGCTCTTCTTCTGACTCTGGAAGCAGGAGGGAGACCTTAGGAATTCATATGTCTGACTTCTGTTCTTTGGTATTCTAGTATACCTGCATTTTCCATGTGGCTGTACACACAGAAACATTCTTTTAGGCTTTCTTCAGTAACTGCTCAGTGTTTGAAATTTATTACTTTTTCAGATGGAAATTTTGATTATCTTTGGCCCTAGGAATTTGTGAGATGAGAAGTGTTAGACTGGACTTCAGAACGTGCGTTTACATGCACAGGGCGAAACTATTCCTCAAGATGGAACAATTTTGTCTTCTGGAAATAGAAGTGCACTTTTATGGGGACTTTTGAAAAATATGGAATGATGTGGGGTCTTTCTAGTGAACCATGGGAGTCACTGGAGAAACTATAATTCACCATAAGTTCTTGATAATTGGTGACTGACTTGAGAAATGTCACCACAGGCCTGTGACAGTAAAAAGAAGGGTAGTGGGAAAAAAATCACAATGATGGCAGAAGCTAAATGATAGCTTTGCCTTAAATTTCTTTAACATGAGTGGTTTAGCTTGGAGAAAGATACTAAATACCTGTAGACTGACATATGTAAATCACAGAATCAAAGAATTCTAACCAAAGGTCTCTTAAAAGACCTCCATGGTCAAAAGCGGTGACTTTGTAAGTGAGTTCCACTTAGTCATCCTTGATTGCTTGCTTCCTCTCACATTATTTCATCAGTTAGTCTAGTCGGTTCTACTGCCAAAAACACATTCTGAATTTGTTAACTGACATCACTTTGGCTTGGATGGCAGGAGCTTTCTAACTGGTTTCCTTATGTCTTTTTCTTAGTCAGAGTTGTATTTTGAAAACATAGATGAGTCATCTCTCTTACTCCTTTGAGGAAATCACACCACTACCCTTTCACTGCTTTTAGAATAAAACCCAACATTTCATAGCAGAGGCCACACTATCTGCCTCTGCTAACTTACTGACCTCACCCTTCACCAGTATCCCCTTCGATTGCCTCAGTCCAGTCATACTGGCCTTATTCTACTTCTTAGAATGTGCTAAGTGTGGTATTAAGAGTGATCTATGATACACAGTCAGGACTCATGGTAGGGGAGCAAGGGTATACCAAAACTAGGACCAATCATTCTTCTTCACCATGGGACAGATGACAATCATTTCAATGTTTCCTAGAAAAGAAAGATTTGATAAAATCCAACATCCATATTGATAGCGCTTTTAGTACCTGGGGAATTGAATCGAAGACACCTGATAAAGGACAACAACAGGAAGCCTACAGGGAGCATCAGCCCTGAGCATGGACTCCACTAGTGTACAAGCCAAGAAAGGGCGCTACTGGTGAATGCCACCTGTAGGCACTGTCCAGAGCAAAAAAAGCAAGAACAATGACAGAGGGATAAATTTACAGAGGTTTAGAAAATTGATGTTGCTAAATGACGTAACCATCCACCTAGAAATGTACTCAGTCCGTATGTTAGACCATCCCGTCACTTACTTGTTCCTTCTGTAAACGGAGGATCACGAGCTATCTATATATATCTACTTGGGAGTAGAGAGATGGAAGACATGCAAAGGACAGCTGAATTCAAACAGAGTTGCACATGTGTTAGATGCCATTTGCTACTTTTCTGTCATCTTTATTTGTGTGGTGCTGAGGACAATTTCCATTTTCAGAAATGTTCCATTGCAAACTGACCCCCCTCCCCTACCCGCCCATGGATTCGCTCAAACTTTGATCTAAAAACCTACATTGGAAGACTTGATGCCAAGTCCTAGACCGTCTGGGAATTCCACCAGATATGAAACAAGACCTTCCATGTGTGGAAGGAACAGTTTTATGGTGGAGGAGAGATGGGTGCTGATGTCAGGTCAAGGGTTATTGCAGGGTTCCAGTTTCCCACCACTTTGGGTCTTTTTTGGTTTACTCACCTCATTATTCAGCTCTTGGATGGCTTGCTGGGAGGTGTTGAGTTTACAGAGAGAGGATTCCAGTTGTGCACAACTTTGCCTTAATTGTCCTTGGAGACTCTCATTTTCCTCCTCACACTTTCTCAAATTCTCCTTTAACTGCTCTCCCATTAAAGAACAAAGCCCAGAAAGGTGTTACTTTGAGACTCCCGCAGAAGCGCACCCTCCTTCCCTAACTCACAGTTCTACTCTACCCTCAGACCTTCTCCTAGTCCCTCATCTTTCCCCCTTTCCCTCCTGTTCCTGCCAAGCACCCATAGTCTCTGTATCCCCCACACCCATCTGGATTCATGTCTGACCCTGGATTCAGCTTGCCAGTTTCTTTTCTCACCATCTTTTCTTTCTTTCTCTCTTCCTCTTGGAGTCTCTCAAACTCTTGTTCCAGTAACTTCTCCTTTTCTTTGTATTTTTTCAGCTGCTCCTGCTTCTCCTCCAGTGACTTTGTTATCTCCTGAAGTTCTTCTTTTAATTTGCTTATGTTGGAGGCTTGCTCCCTGTTCTGAGAAAACAAAGATGACACTGAAGACAGTCTTAGTCTGTATATATTTTTTTGGGAAAAAAAATCTCTAGATAACTGTACATAGGGAATGTAGAAATAAATAGACAAGCAAACAAGTCCTGGGTTACTTAGCATGCATAACAAAAAAGTTTCCTCTGATACTCAGCAACATTTTCTCATTGTTTGATTAAATACATCAACTTAATTTTATTTATAAATCCAGTTTCTAGGCATCAACTTCCTCTTTCCACATGCTCACCAAATCTTTCCACATAAAGGCTTCCTTGAATAAAGATTTTTAAAAAAGTCTCAGGACAGCACAAAAAAGAATAATTCAGAGATCAAAGCCTTTAAATTGACAAAGTTAATTTGGAATCCTGGGAGGATTCAAGCTTAGTCCTTGAAAATGCTTATGCTTGGTGATAGGAAGCTGAGTGGCTGGGTTAGCACGTTCACGTAAACTCTGGACAATTAGCTTGCAGTGGGTGAGTGGTGCCATCTTGCCATGCGAAGACCAACATATTTCATGTTACACAGAGCAAAAGCTTGAGCCAGTGGCATACTGGCCCTTCATACCTGGTGTTTCAGGTGTTTTATATGATCTAGCAGTTCATTCACTTTTGCTTCCTGCTCCGTCAATGCCTTTTGAAGCTGTTTCCTTTCCTTTTCCGAATTTTCAAGCTTCCTCAGCATCTCACTGTGTTCTGACAACAGCTCCTCTACTCGTTTCCTAGAACAAGATGGAGGACAGACTGTGAGCTGGCCACATGGGCTTGCTAGACTGTTCCTGGGCAGCTGCCCAGAGCAGTTCTAACAGACTCACAGGGTCAGGGCTGGTCTCTGAACCTGTGTACCTGTTGGCTGTGAGTTCTCTCTGCAGTTCCTGGATGGTGTCTGCCTTCTGCTTCTCCATGAAGAGGCAGTTTTGCAGTTTCCTCTGGGCATCTTCCAGGTTACCCTGTGCTATTTTGGCCTCTTCTTTATATTGGGCTGCTTGCTGTGCTGCAGAGGATAGGAGATGAGCCGGGGACAATCCCATGTGAGAAGGAAGTCCGTGTCACTAAGCTTTCCTAATGAAGGCTGGTTAGGAAGCTTGTGCCTCATTTTGTGACCTGTGTCAATTTTCAATATGTCGTCATCCCTCTCCACTTTACTATATCTCCTTAGAAGCACTGCTGAATGATCTATCTTCAACTACTCCCCAGTGTGCACTTTTTTAAAAAAGATGTATTTATTTATGCTTATAGAACTGGGGTTCAGGCGAGAGGTGCAGGAGTGGTGAGAGGATTCACCAGAGGTAGAGTGTGCAGCAGAATAGGCTGACTGATGAAGTACACTGCTGAGGGGAGTGGATGCAGTGGGTGAGTCAGGAGAGGTCTGCCACACCATGTGGGTCATCTCCCTGATAGGGATCGAACTTGACTGAAGTGGCTATAGCTGCAGGGAGCTTCATGGCACTGCGCTTTAACCGGTGGCAACATCAGGGAGGGTCCTGTGGACTCTTTCTTGACTAACCTTAAACAAATGGGTAGAAATTGCTGAGTGTCTCTATATGCCATGTTACTGGGGCAGATATTGATGCTCATGGAGTTCAGAGTGTAATGAGGGAGAGAGGAGCTGTCCTCCTGACACAGAGAAGGCTGTTATGGTAAACCTGCATCAGCATTATGGGGAAGAACAGGGTTTACAGAGGAGCAGAGGCTGAGCTGGGCTGGGCTTGGACAGTGGGGTGGAATGGTGGGAAGCAGAGCTGAGTAAGAGTGTAGATGACAGAGGGCTTGGGAAGACTTTGTAAAACTGTGAGTAGGGACTTGACAGAAAGTGCTTTAGGAAAACTGGAAAGGAAGAGAATGGAGAATGACTTCCTACAATATTGTTTTATCCCAAGTCCTTGCCTCCACTGGGTATACAGAGGAATATATCCCAGTCAGCTGGCTGTTGGAGTTCCTCTATGCCAAATACACCCCTACATGCTCTACTTTTCAACCATCATATTTACTTTAAACATCACTTCTCTACCCCCTTCCTCCGGTTTCCCAGCTCCTTTAAGAGAAAGACAAGTGGCTGCTCTAGCTGGAGTGCTATCACTAGGGAAGTAAATATGCACCCTGGAAGAAGGGAGGATTTTTTTTTTAAGCAGGGAAGAGAACAGGTTGAGTTTTGGGAATGTGGAGTTGGAGGGGAAGGTGGGTGGTCCAGTTGGTTAGTCTCCACAAACAAGCATGACCACGGTGTGAAGTCAGGCTGGGGCTCCAGGTTAGCAGTCATCTGCAGAGAATCGCAGCCTCTGGCAGGCGCAGTGCTTACCAAAGAGTGCTCTAGAGGAAGGGGAAGCAGGAGGAGAAGAGGACGGGGTGACAACTCTGATCACAGCAGGAGGCAAAAGAGGAAACAGTGACCTAGGTCTGTGGAAGAACAAGGACCTGCTGTGTCTCCAAAGGTGAGTGACAACTGTAGAGTTGTGGGGGCCAAAGCGTGCATGCATACACACACACACACACACACAAACACACACACACAGAGTTAAAGCAGGGTGAAGAAGGAAGTTGTGCTTTGGATCTTTCTTTTTTTTTCACTCCAAATTGATCTATCACTCACACAACATAAAATTTACCCTTTTAAAGTATACAGTTCAGTGGTTTCTGGCATACTCACAAAATTGTGCAGCCATCACTAATATCTAATTCCGGAACATTTTCATTACCCCCAAAGAAACCCCATATCCAAGGCAAGGCGTTATTGGTGACCTCTGAGAAAGCAGTTTCCGCAGAGGGCATGGACACAAGCCACAGTGCAAGCTGTGAGGGAGAAAAAATGTTGGAGGCAAGAGGAGGGAGAGGATTAAAAGCCAGGAAGAAAAAGGTGAGCTGTGCCATAAGAGTCCTTGAGAAGACGAAGAAGAGCGTGTGGCAAAGAAGTGAAGAACAAAGCCTTGTCCTCCCTGTGGGCAGGAAGGGACAGGGCCTTCACCTCAGGCTGCTGAGAAGATGGTGGGCATGGAGGTCAGCAGTCTGCTTTCCCCGGCTGAGCACCCACTGTGTGGTAGGGGCTTCAGAGGGCAGGAGAAATTGGGGGTCAGTGAAGGAGCTGGGGAGGGCAGGTGTACCTGCTGCAAGCTGGTAGGGTGAGATCTTGAGTAGGTTTCCAGGAAGGAGGGAAGGGGCATTTAGGAGGTTGTTCTGGGCCCTGGGACTTGCTGGGGTCTTACCAGCCAGTCTCTGTTGCTGTTGGGCTTCTTCTAGATAGTCTTTTAGCTTCTGGTTCTCAGCTCTCAGGGATACACACTCTGCCATTTTGCATTTATCTTGCTTTACTTCCTGGATGGCATTTTCGAGTTCTGCTGCCATTTGTTGCTTCTTCTCCAACTCCATCTCCTTTTTCATGAGATTGTTCTGAACCTGCGTCAGTTCCTTCTCTAGCTGGTGCAGCAACTCATCTTTCTCTTGGAGGAGCTAAGAAAAGCAGGTTAATGCTGATAAAGACCGAGCAGAGGCAGGACAAAGTCATCAAAGACTGTGCTGAGCCTTCTTCCAGCCATCACCTCCTCCTGGCCACCTTCACTCCCTGTCTCCCCTCAACTGTTCTTAACAGCAACCACAGAGGGCCTCTAAAAATGTAAGTCCTCTCGTGATGCCTCTTCTCAACCCCCCGACCCCACATACATACGCTATCTCACTTGAAAAAAGTCACAGGCCTTACAGCGACCTTCTTCCTGAAATTCATGCCTGGTCCTTGGCTGATTCCCCTCCTGACCAGCTTCATCTGGTCCCCCAGGAAGGCTCCAAGGAGACAGATGGAGCACCTTTGCAACTACTCTTCTCTCTGGATGAAATATTCTTCCTTAGGAATTTGGCTGAATGACTCCCTCACCTCATTCAAATCTCTGCCCAAGTATCAGCCTCCAGAGAGGCCTTCCCTCCACCCTATATAAAGCAGTTTGAAGCCTGAATTTTTTAGGAATTATTAGTCCTGACATATTATATGTTAACCCTGTTATTTGTTTGTTGTCTGTCTCTCCACACTAAAAAAGTAAACTTTGAGAGTAAGGCTGTGGTGAGTTTAATTACATTTATAGTGGCCGAGACAGTGCTTGGTGTACGGTAGGTGCTCAAACTACTTGTTGGATGAATAGGAAATAACTGGAAGCTGCTAATATACTTGCTTCTTGTTGCCATCTCCTCAAATACCTCCATTTTGACTGATGGATCTCCTTCATCCTTAAAAGAGGAGTTTGTAACAACAGCCAGCCAATCAGTTGGTTGGCTTCTACTAGCTCTTGTGAAAGTTTAAGATTGAATCTTCTGGAAGTTGGACTAGCATTGACTATAAATGCTGGCATTGGTTTCACAACCTTTTTGTTGTTGGTTCCATTCTTAGGCTTGATTTATGTTGGCCATTACAGCTCTTCTAGGATGTAATTCCATTAATATTCCCAAGCTGCCTGATTTGCATATGCACCGGCTACTTAGAATTGTAAAACGTGGAAATTCATTTGAAGTGCATAATAAGGCTACACATTATTGTATAGCATTTCTCTCTGCTCTCAAGCATAAACAAAAGTATCAGGGAAGTGCAAGAGTATCCAAAATTCCCTACCTTGCATGACTGGGGGAAGGACCTCCCTATAGTCAACACCTCTGTTAAGGTTCGTGGACATGCACATTTTATTAATCTATTATATGCACTGAAAAATACCATGGAAATGCCTAGAATCACTCTGGGCTCTAAAATTCCAGTCTCTGATGCTCAAATTCACTCCCCCAGCAACCACAGAACAACTGTGGCCAAAGTGTGGCCTCACAGCTGCCCTGCTGGTGGCTCCCACCAGAGCTTCTCACCTTACCTTGTCCTTCTTCAAGCCAAGCTTCTGGGTCTCTGTGAACTGTATCTGTAGCTCCTGCAGCCGCCGCTGCATAAAGGTGAGCTCCCTGTCCTTCCTCTCCACGTGGGCGGAGGCCTCTTCCCGGAGTCCATGCAGGTCTAGCTCCAGTTTCATCATGTCTACAGAGTGAAGGGACAGAGGGCTTCCTGTTTAGAAGAGGGCTCCCGGGCTTCCTTCTGGCTCCCTCCGCCACTGCCACCCGCTGTGGCTTACCCTTCATGATGTTTTTCTTCTGTTCCGACACAGCTTCTAGCTCCATGCGCAGGTCCTTCACAAGGTTCTGGTACTCCTCCACGTGCAGGCACTGGCTGTCTTTCTGCTCCTGCAAGTGCTTCAGTATCTGGGCAGGGCAGGATGAGGACATGGAGGAAGAATGCTTTCTAGGATGCCGAGGCAGACTAGGCAGAGCCATAGAGACAGAAGCTTAGGATGGTGGTTGACAGGGGCTGGGGAGGGAAGGTGGAGAGGAAGGACTCTTGGAGACATGGAGGCTTCTTTTTGGAGTGATGAAAATGTTCTGGTGATGACTGCCCACATTTTGTGACTATACTAACTGTACACTTTAGAAGGTGACTTTTTTAGTATATCGATTAAAAAAATTTTAAAAAGGTAGACTTTTCGCTCAAAATGTGCATAAAAGTCACTACTCCTTGCTACAACTGATGGTTATTTATGGAACACCTACAGAGTACGTGACACTGTCCTCATTGTGGAAAACTTTAAAAGTTGCTAAGTGCTATATGGAAGAACAGCAAAAGGGGAATGGCGGTCTATGGGGCAGGGTAGAGTGTGCAACTTTAAATAGGATGTTGGGGTTGGGCACACTGAGAAGGTGGCCTGTGAGCAGGGACTTGCTGCAGGGGAGAGCACGAGCCATGTTGCAGGTATCTGAGGGAAGGGCTTGGCAGACAGGAGGCCTAGCCAGGATGAGAGCACAGAGAAGACCATGTGGCTAGAGTGGAGCAGTGATGGGTAGAAGAGGAGGAGATGGAGCAAAGGGGGGGGGGGAATCACATCATGTGGGGATTTAGTCTCACGAATAACTTTAGCTTCTACCCAGAAGAGGGGGGGATTGGCTGCAATCGAGAGAAGGAGCTGTAGTTAGTTATCTGGGCATCAGAGGATGGAAGGGAAAGATATTTAGTGACTTGTGGGTTGACAGTGAGGGAGAGATGCAGCCTGAAGCTGCACAGCTGGAGAAATGCAGACGTCACCACATGAGCTGAGTGTGGACACACTGGGTGCTGGGTTATGACTTCACACTCTGCTAGTAGAGCCAGAGAGGACTGTTGGGGTGAACTCTGATGTTACAGTGCATTCCTACTGGAATACTGAGGTCACATGACTGCTTTGGACAGCATGTAGAAAGTGGTGGAGGCAGATATATTCTGGCTTTTTAAAAAAATATTTATTTGTGCATATAAGAACTGGGGTAAAGACTAGAGGTGCAGAGGGTGAGAGGATTCACCAGAGACAGAGTGGGGAGCAGAACTGGCAGACTGACTGAAATATACTGCTGAGGGGAGCAGTGGGCAGGACAGGAGAGGTCTGCCACACCATGTGGGTCACCTCCCTGGCTGGGGATCAAACTCAGACTGCAGTGGCTGCGGATAGCTTTATAGTGCTGTGCTTTAACCTGTTGCACCACTAGGGAGGGCCTTGTATTCTGTTTTTTTTTTTTTTGAGAATTCTATCACTTTAAAATGTGGATTAGTTTAGAGAGAACTACTTAGATATATACTTTTAATTTCACATGATGAAAATGTTGGAGATTTGTTGTATGACAGTGTAAATAACTTTAACATGAGTGAACCATACTTAACCACTAGAAATGGTTAAGGTGGTAAAGTTAATACTATGAAATTTTTACCACCATTAAAAAAAAAATGGGAGAAATAAAGACATTTTTCAGACCAAAAAATAAAAAAATAAAAAAGCGTGACAAGATGTTGTAGGTCAAGATATGAATAATTTGGAAGTGATCTCTAAAATACACATGGGCAGTTGTCCAAGGAGGACCTCCAAACATTCTGCCTTTGAATGTTCTAGAAAGAGATGAGCACCACTCCACTAAGAGATGGCTTGCAAAATTTGTGTGCTGTTTTCTCTGCCTGCCACTCCGTTGGCCTTATTTCAACACCAGCAGGCAGACCCTCACTTGCCCACAGCATCATCTCATGTGACTGTGTCTTGTCCCTCAAGTAGCTACTTGTTTTCATGACTTAAATGCTTACTCATTATTAGAATCAACTTTTGAGATAAATTTGACTTTTGAAAACACCAGGTTTTCAATATAGGGGGTGAATTTAAATTAATAATCTTCACTACATTTGCTACTTCTTAGTTCCAGCCAGAAACTAAAGTCTGGTTGGTCCTATTCAATCTGGTAAGCCAACAAGAGACTGTCTTATTTGGGTGTACTGCTGCAAGTGGCTTAAGAGAAGTGCAATTCTCAGATTCAGTTGCCAAATATAACGCTACCAGACAACCCTGATGGAACCTGGTGTGTGCTTGTGGGGCCAAAAGGGCACAAAAATATAAAACAGAACATAAAATATGAAAATGAAAAATAAGCAAGAATAAGAATAAGAAACATAGAATGACATTCAACATGCTTCAACCTCATTAGACACAAATGAGCAAAAGTTCTCCCACCTTTTTGATGTCTTCACAATCTTCTGAGGAGCTGGGAGGATGTCTATGGGTAGCTGTATAGGAAGCAAAGTCTGCCTGTAATTTTATCAAAGCCTCTTCACGCTCCAGAACCTGCAATCAAGTATAGGTTGGTTATACTGACCAGTCAATCCATGGTGTCTATGCTACTGAGGCACTGGCAGTGGTTTTTTTAGATTTCACCAGTGGCCACATTTTGGACTCCCTCTTGAACTTCTACATGGTCCAATTTTTGAGACAGAAGATGGTTCTTTGGAGACTGTGATGAAATGCTGTACCTAACTTATCAGAGTTCAATTATTCGAAGTTCAAGAACTAAAGGTAGTTTCTTATAGATAGGGTGAATGTATGTGAACTTTCTCTAAAAATCTAAAAAAAAAAAAATGAAGTTTTTCTTCTTATTTATTGGAAATAATTACAATAAAACCCAATTATTGAAATTAAGGTGTAAAAATTTCATCTTCATTTATTCTCCCCAGTTTGACTTGCATTAAGTGGAAGAGGCATTAATGGTAATTTCCAGTGAATACTTCTATATTATGATCAAAGGTTTCCAAAAACAAAGAAATTGAACTATACTTAAGGATTCTGTAACTTATTTTGAACAACAATATATTACAAACATCGTTCCATGCAGCCTTTCAGATATGCTTAATTATTTTTCTTGGCTGCATATCATTCCACCACAAGAATTGCTCTTTAACCATTTTTCTCAATCTTTTTAGTTTTTCTATGGATGGGCATGGAGGTTGTGTGATTTTAAGACTCCTTAGAATTTTGTATTTTGTGAGGGTTGGGCGATGTGCATATGAACAGAAGGTGAGGGCAGTATAAACAATGTGGTTTAATTACATTTAAGACAGACTTAATGCATTTAGGACCATTCTATTGACAGACTGCATACATGTTGTTGGTCCTAAGAAGATATACCATAGAGCCTTGGTGTGTAGAAGGCTTTATCATGTAGAAGGTTTGTCCAATTATACTCTGACGCTTGAACAACTATAGAAGTCCTCAGTGACCCATTACTTAGAAAGTATGCCCTTAGTAAGTGACACATGACATTTGAGAATTTCTGGTGAAAGAGAATGACTTAGATAACTCCCCCATCCTCTTTCTTTCCTTGTGGCTTTATTTTGGTTCTCTCTGAGAAATGTTCTAAAAGGCATTTACCAAAGAGTTACTGCAGGCTAGTTTATTTCGAAGTTCCTGGATTAGATCATCCTGTTCAGAGACCTTTTGCCAGACTTCTGACAGTCGTTTCAGAGTCTCCTGATGTTCTTGAATCATGCAGGAAGAAGTGTATATACGCACTTTTGAATGATCCCCTTTGTTCTCAGGCTCCTGGAATATATAAAAATAAGCGATTGGCTTTGTTCAAAATTTTCAGGTTTAACTTGAGAATGCCATGAGTATGGACAATTTTTACACTTATTTTCTAAAAGTTTATGTTAATATATGTGAACCATGGCTCTCTTAAAAAAAATGAACAAAAACAAGTGCATACACATGGAAAAAAGCTTGATCTTTTCATGAGAGAATCCACTGATTCAGTCAGTATTCCTCCAACTTGACCTGACAGTTCCTGTTATCAGGCTTTTTGAAATACCTTCCAGACATGTTTATGCAAATGTATATAAGATTTTACTTTTTCTCCTATACAAATGAAAGTCTTCTACACACTTTTCTAAATATTGTATTTTCATTTGAGAATTTTTAAGGGTATTTTCCATATTGTTAGTTGTGCATCAATCTTTTCTTTTAAAGTCAACTTCAAAATGCACAGGTACTACATATACTCTCTCTCTATACATATATATGTATAGATTCTAAATATTGTAACATTATAACTAAAACATTAACCTTCTTTTTGCCTAATTCCCCATACTCCATGATTTCCCAGAGAAGACAATTTATGCATAACTTTCTAGAACTTTATCTATATATTTATATCCACATAAATGAATACATAGACTACAAGTGATGTGTTGCCTTTTTAAAAACATAAATGTCAATGTGAATTTAAATTTTACTAAGAAAAGATCTATAAAATAGAAAAGTAATCAACAAATATTTGAAAGTAAAGAACAGAGAAGGAGGACCCACTCTAAAAGAAGCTCTCCAAACCTATTTTCAATTAAAGTCACTATAAAAGTCTGACTCTGTGGCAGGTACTGGCAAGTACAAATGGGTCTTGATACATACAGGTTCTGCATCAATCACAAGTTGAAAATACCCACTATTTGGTTAGATCTACGATGGCAGTGTGTGTACTGACCACATACAGATTTTATTTTCCAATATTGTTCTCTAAACAATATAGCATGACACAACTATTTACATTTAAGCATTTAAGTTGCATTAGGTATTATAAGTAGCAGAGAGATGATTTAAAGTAAATGGGTGGCTGTGCAAAGGTTATATGCAAAGATTGTGCCAGTTTATACAAAGGACTTGACCCAATGAGGGCCTGGAATGACTTTAGTACAGAGACCAAAGGATAACTATAGGTCCAAAACACAAAGGGTCCAAAGAGGGCCAGTTGGACAGATGAATCAGTATCAGGATATACTGAGCTGGTGCTTCAAATCAGTGGGGAGATGATGGGATGTTCATTAAGTGAAGCTGGACAACTGAGATTAGTTTGATAAACATAACATTATAGCCTTATCTCCCATGTATGTGTGTGTGTGTCCCAGACAGGCAAAAAAAAAAAAACAAAAACAAAAACATAAAATATAAAATTGTTAAGAGTTCTAAAATAAATGTAAGACAAGCTTTTGTAACTCTGGGGATAGAGAAGTCCTTCCTAAGCAAGACATAAAACCTCAAATCTATAAAGAAGGACCGAGAGTTTCAACTTCACAAAAATGAAAAAGTTCTGTATGGTAGAAAAACACCATTAATAAAGTCGAGTGAAAAGTTACAAACTGGAAGAGAACATTTGAACATACGTAATGAAGCATTATTACCTGCAATATATTAAGAAGGTCCTATAAGTCATTATGAAAAAGACTAATAACCCAGTAAAAATAGGTTATGAATTTAAACAGGTAATTTGTAAAACAGAAGTCCACATGACCAATACACTTAAGAACAGCACTCAATACTTCATTAGTGGGGCAGTCACTGGGATCCCACCGTGGGATCTCAGATTCCTATCAGCACTGAAGGGCTTCCTCTCCAGTTTCAGGGAGAGCTACTGTTTTGTCCTAAGACAGCTTAGCTGTCACTCTCTTCTGGGGATTGCTGGGACTGACGAAAACTGCCTCTCCCTAGGGACAGCTCACATCTGATAACTGATCGATGTGGAGGTATAAAGGTCAGTTGCCTTCCTCCTAATTTAGGACTGCTCTGAATGTCCGTCCAGTTCCAGAGCCCCTCATAGGGCTGGCTGAGGCCTTTGTTGGACTGCATCACCGCTTAACTTCTCCCTTAGCCCAAATTTGCTTCCTTCCTCTTCCTTTTACAGGTCTTTATACCAAAATCTCTTCTTAACATGTACTGCGTGGTGATCCATCTCAGAGTCTGCTTTCTGGAGAGCCCAGTCCACGAGTATTGGAAATTTAGAATATTAATATTCTCTCTCTCTATTCTGTCTATATAAAATGTTAGAATATTAAATGAAATAAAATTGTAATGAGAAAGCCTTTTTATTTCTCATTCATCAGTTTAGTACAACTTAAAAAGACTGAAATACTGTATGTGGGGAATAAACTCAGTTTTGCTGGTAAAAATGTAAACAGCTAGGACCTTCTTGGTGTGCAATTTAGAAGCATCTTTAAACATTTAAAAGAAGCCTTTCCTTTGACTTCAAAATCCCATTTCAGGAAATTGCTCCATAGAAATAAGGAGGCTTTTTACATCTTATTTAAAATAGACAAACAGGTCAGCAGATGATACAGTCATACCACAGAATACAAGGTAGTAACTGAAAGAAAAGGTCAAGGCAGACATTTAAAAAGCAAGTTGTAGAATCACATTTATAAAATGGCCCATTTATGTAAAAAGAAAACCCTAACTATATAGCAAAAGGCTGGGGGAATTTCTAGCACATGATTTGAGTGGGTGCCTAAGAGGAGGAAAGTAGGTCGGAGACCAAAGGCAGACTTTCACTTTTAACCTCAGTTCATCCTGAAGAACCTATATCACTGTATTACTTGTATAATTATAAAAAGTAATGAAAACAGGCACAAATCTGGGCATTTCTGGCTCTTCTTTGCCATGCTTTATGACTTTCTTCTCCTGTTTGGCTCTGAAGTTAGGGTTTGCATGAGTCCTGTCACCTAGAAGAGCCTTTGTGGGCCACTATGGGAACATGAGATATTTGAGAGCCCAGTTGGTAATTTGCTTTCTGTCTTATTTGAAGCGATGGCTCTTTGTATTAATTAAGGACATCAAAATTGTTAAGGAACACTCTGAGGATACCTGACGGTTAGACATTCAAAAGTTGAGGGCTAGAAAATTCAAGGTCAGGAATGCCATCTGGTTGGAGTTTTGAATTTCTGTCGGAAGAGGCAGGACGGTTCCAGGGGACTTTGGGAGCATGTCAACTTGCTGGATATCCTGGTCTAACGGTCTGGTTTAAATCCTACCTGGCTGACGATCCCGCTGAGTTCCCCTTCCAACATCTTTACTTGGCACTCCAATAGCTCGATGTTGCTCAGGGATGTCTGGTATTTATCCCTGTAGAGATTTAAACTCCTTTCTAGCGAGACAATCTTGTTCCCTGCCAAGGCAAGCTGCTCCTGGGCTAGATGGAGCTTCTCCCCCGTGTTCTCATGATTCCCCATTTCCTCTTCATAGAGAATCACCTATGGAGTAGGAATGAAACACATTCAACCTCTAGAAACATCTAATGAGAGATTGGCTATAAAATTCCATCTAGAGCAGTCTTATGTCTTCCCTTGAAATCTATATGCACAGAATGGGCTCAGCACAGTCTAAAAGCTGCAAAAATATATTAGAATGCTAATGATTAGAAACCAAAAAATAACTTTTACTTAGGTGGAAGGTACTTTTTAAAGGCAGGAATCATACCTATGTTCCCTTCTACCTGGCATGTAGTAAGCACACAATAAAGACTTGTTAGTTGATTAATAGGAATGAATTTATATAACCCCATTTTTTAAGGGCATGAAATGCCAGTGTTCTTTCTTTTCTAGGTATTCTCTAGAGGTCTAATTTAGAAAATGGAGAGCCCCTCACGCGCACAGGTCCATGTCAGTAAAGGCCCCAAGAGACAGTGGGAGCATGACCTGAAATTCTTCTGGGATTTGCATGGTCCTTACTTAGATTCCCTTTCTCCCTTATCAATTAATTAGTCAACCAACTGACAGATATTTATTGATTGCTCATGAGCAATGTCTTGGGTGGTGAAGGGTATATAAAACATAGGCTCTTCCCTCAATGAGTTTCAAAGTCTTACAATTTGGGTGTGGTGTGATTTAAAATTAGCAAATAACTGTATAGTGGCACATACTAAACTAGCCTTGAATTCTAAGTAATGAGGAATTAAGAGCAGAAGGGCCATCAAATCTTGTAGCATAGAATTCATACAGGACATATCTTATTGGGAGGGAGGGTCAAAGCTAATTATACTTGCTGCCTGTCATGTGAGCCTCCTTGTAGGAAGGACTCATCTAGTTTGAGGTGTTTATTAAGTAAGGAGAAGAGTTAAAGAACATTTTATATTCAGACATTTGTAACTCAGGTGTCAGTGACCCCTCCATAGCTCCTTGGCAATCATCACTTCTTTGCAAGCTAAACTCACACTAGCAGCAAGCACCTTCAGCTTTTGTTCTTAGGACTGCTTTGACTTCAGGAGGCCACACAAGCAAAGGAGCAAAACAGGGCAGGTTACATGTCTTAACCAAAAGCTGGGGTGGATTGGCTGGGATCACTTTCAGAGGTCTCAAAGGGACTAAATCCCAATTGCCCACAGTAGTGATCTTTTTTTTTTTTTTTTTTTAGTAATTTACATATCTATTTACATTATAGTTCATTTTAAAATAATGTTTACTTCTCTCCTCCCCCACTTCACCTGCCCATCATCACCATAGTCCCCCACATTCCTCCCTCTCTTTCCCCCTTCCTTGCAGGATATCTCTGGTTTAAAATTGGCGGTTTTTGTTTTGTATTGTAATAACAATGCACTTTCCCCCCCCTATGTCTTATTTGGTTCTCTTACATTCCTCCTATAAGTGAAATTATTTGATATTTTTCTTTTTCCTTATGACTTATTTCACTGAGCATGATCCTTTCTAGATCCATCCATGTTGCTGCAAATGGCATGAACTTATCTTTTTTGATTGCGGAGTAGTATTCCATTGTGTGGATTTACCACATCTTCTTAACAGTGGTTTTCTTTGTGGAAAATCCTGCCCTTTTATGACTCACTTCTTTTACTGTGCTTCTTGAGATCACCTCCTGAACTCCTTGTATTGATCTCCTTGTTTTAGGAAAATCCAACCTTTGATAGAATTTTAATGGTTCTGTGTAACAAAGTATTGAGGGAACTTGGTAGAATTACCTAAAGTGTCCCCCACGCCCCATGCTCTTCTGGATTGGGATCTGTGTCAGTGGCTGCTATTGGTAAATCCCCTATACATTCTCCTCTCTCTTCCTTAGTCATGACTTTATTTGGGACAGCAATGCATCTCACTAAAACACATTCCCTGGGAACTGTTGCCATGTGATTAACTTTGACCAATGATATGTAAATGAAAGTATGTGGGGCTTTTGGAAAATGTACTTAAAAGGGAGGAATGCACTTTTCTCTCCCTCCACCATCCCATTCTGACTATTTGGAACCAGGATGTGACTGTTGGAATTTCTGCAACCAGTTTAGATGACCTAGAGAGTAGAATCCCTGAGTTGATGATGTAACCAGAAGGTAGGACCTCAGGTACCTGATGACACCTACAGTTAACAGAGCAGTCGAAGACCACCCACATCCAAACTTCTTTCGTATGTCATAGAAACATACCACTTATTTAAGCTGCTATTACTTTTACATGCAGCCAAATAGAATCCCAATGAATTCAGGGTCAACTTTATCTAAGCTGCATTCTTTTTTAAGTTAGAGTGAACATCAATTACAATTTTAACACAACCCTTACTATTAAACAACCCCTACTATTAAACCATAGTTTAATAGTAAACCACAGTTTATGCACATGGGCTTTGTCCCTGATCATATTTTGTAGGATACTTTTTCTCAGTTTCTTTTCTTCTCAATCCTTTCCAGCAAATTCCCACTGACCTTAATATTCCCTTTGTTCCCTAAAGTTCCTCATAAAGCTCCTGGAGTTAATCCTGAAGCAATGACACTGTTCCAGACAGTTCTTGGAATTTTTTTTAAAGATTTATTATTTATGCACACAGAACTGGGGTACAGGCCAGAGGTGCAGGGGCGGTGAGAGGATTCACCAGAGTGGGGAGCAGAACAGGCCGACTGAGGAAGTACACTGCTGAGGGAAGCAGCAGGAGGGTCATGAGAGGTCTGCCGCGCCATGTGGGTCACCTCCGGGGCAGGGATTAAACTCATGCTGAAGTGGCTTTAGCTTCTTAGTGCTGCATTTACCAGCTGTGCCACCAGGGAGGGCCCAGTTCTTGGAATTTTATCTTTAAATTTAGACAAAGGAAGGCTATGCTGGGGAGGTTGCCTGTCCCATTTCTTAGAACCCATGGTTTTTGCTGCTTGCTGTCCTTCTACCATTCAACTGGTTCTGGTTCTATAGGTTTGGTCTTTGGAATTTACTTGGGATTTCACAAGGATACTGCTTTCTGGTTTAATAAATACTATCCTGAGGCAGGAATAGAAATGAATGCTGAGAATATACTTAAGCTGAGTCTATACACTTTAAAATCCCAGTCTGAAAAAATGACCATTTTGGTACTCCCAATGATTGACTCGGACTGGTTATCTTAAAAAGAGTAAGTGCCGGGAATTTGTCTATTATCAAAACCTGATGTTTCTAAAAATGATTGATTTAATGGACCTTATATCTCTTTTATAACCCTCAGAGACCCAGAGTCTTTTGCATTTAAATTGCAACGATAATAGAATGGAGATGATGGACTCCCATACACACATGTGCACACTCTCACCCCTGACACACACATGTTATCATGCACCCCACACCCATTATGTCATTCTGTTTAGTTCCCTCTGCTCAGTTTCAAAAAAGGGCAAGAATAAAAGTAGGAATGTTTATGAAAACTGCTCAAGATATTGTGAGCTTTCCTCTGTAAGTCCAAAGTTTGCTTCCTAGTAGGCATGGCCTGATTTCTGTAGGTAAATGGGTACATGGGACATTTCCACAGTTATTCTAGCTATACCTCATCTTCTTTCATTTTGCAGTGACGGTGAAGAAGAACTAGGTCAGAGGTCTGCTTCTCTAGGACGGACTGATACTGCAGGAGGGAACAGTAAGACGTCTGCAACTCCTCTGTGCGAAATTCCAGTTCTTGCTGAAGGGCCAGCAATTTTTTCTTCAGTTGCTGAAGTTGTCTCAGATGACACTGTTTAGAGGGCTCAAGGTCCATCTCTAACTCCTTGAATGCTAACACTGGCTTCTTGTTCTGCAACAGAAGTCGATACACAGAGAAGACTTGAGATCATCACTAAGCATGCATGTGTCCTTTCATGGCTCACTTGTCCAGCTTGCCACCCATCTTTCCCTCCTCTTATCTTTGCATCTACAGAATACTTATTAAACATTTTACTCTACTCACAATGAAACATTGTACAGTATTTCTACTCTCTAAGAAACATTGAAAAGAAGAGGGAAGAAACCCCCATGGTTCTTTTCTACTATTTAGATCTACCATTCTTACTATTTAGGTCAGGAGACAAAACATACACAGAAGGACCTAGAAAGGAGGATAAAGATACACATGATCATGTGCCTATGTCTTGCCTTCACATAGTAGGGAACACAATTGACCTGGGAAGTAATGGATGTCTGCTTGTGGTTCTTGGACTAAACTCAATTGCTAATAATGCCCAGATAAAGTGGTAAACTTTTAGAGAAACAGCTTACTAGAATTCTGAGAAATGGAAGGGAGACAGAAATATAGTTCAGGTATATCTGGTACTGATGTTCACCTCCTGAAGGAAGATGTGACTGCAGATTCAGGAAGGGGGAGGGAAGGGAATGAATCTTAGTTAATCCACAAGTCACTTGCTGCTAACTTCATCACACAACTTCATTCATTTATTCCCTCATTCATTCAAGATAGGTCCACACCTACTTTCTGTCAAGTTTTCTTTTGGCAGAGAGCATCCCTAAGTTGTCTATTGTAGTACAAAATGAGGTCTTTGTGGAGACACTTCCATATTTTCTTGCCCAAGATCCTTTGGCATGTGAAAAAGGCAGATGAAGACAGTGGTCAGTGGATATATTGTAACCCTCCTCTCTACTCATTATTTCCTTACTTATTCTTTAAAACTCTAAATCCTTCTCTTTTTCTCATTTTCCCCTGCAAAGCTGATGTCAGTACCATAGACTTTACAGGCATGCCCTTAACACAGTATTCCATATTTTCCCTTGCATGGTAATTATCTCTGTGATATTATCTCCTAATTAAATTACAGCCTCCTGGAGGTTAGGGCCATGTCTGTTCCAAGTTGTGCAGCCACCATTACAATCCAGTCTTAGAACAACTCTACCACTTAAAAAAATTTCTTCAGGCCCTTTTGTCACTCCTGTTCATGCCTCCCACTCCCGTCAACCACTAATATGCTTTCTGCTCTCTGGACTTGTCCATTCTACATTTCATATATGGAACTGTGTGTGATCTTTTGTGT